CCCCCCCTTCACCCAGCCATGGGGCCGAGATGCTCAGGTCAACCTGGGACAGCACACGGAGCTGGAGGTCCAGCTACCTGCTGGAAGAGAGTCTGTTTTCACCAGAATTTTGTCCTTCATCCCCAACACAGTGTTAACTTCTGGCCGTGCCTACGTTTGCTTTTTCCTTTTTTTGATACGCTCTTGACAACCCCACACCCAGAATTCAGGATCTGTATGGAATGCTGGCAAGCTGCAAACATTCTTTTAATTATACGTGCCCATTTGGGGTTTGTCTGGCTGAAAAAGCAATTTATAACGGGTCATAATTCTTAGCTTATACTTTTGAAAATAATAAAAATATTCCAAATTCATAATTCAGTTTTAAATTGGCTTCAGACAGCGACCATAAATACCAAACTTCAGCCTGAAGCAGACCGGAGTTTTCCAGCCAAGTAATAAACCATTGGAAATAAGAGCCAGTTTGGCATTACTTCATCTTATCTCCACGTTTCTACAACAGACCAGAAAGAGATGGTTTGGGTTGTGATAACAGTTCTTGAAAATTTTTTTAACTCCTCTTTTTTTTAATCCTACATGTTGAACACAGAGTACTGTATTCAACTCATTATTACTTGTGTTCAATTTTAAGATAGCTGTGAATCTAAGCTATGGCAGAGCTTTGCTTTTTCTTTCTTTATAATTTGCCACTTTACAAACCGGAATCTTCATTTTTTGAAGAGACGTTTCTCTGCTTATAAATACTGCCACTATTAGCATGTATACAAGCACAAACGCAAGCAGAATGTTCGAAGCAGCTCAGTTTTGAAAGCGCAGATTTGGGACTTGATCTAAAGAATATGCTGTCATTTCATTTCATTTATTTAACTCTGTTTTTTCAAACCCATTCTCCTCTCAGAAAGAGAAGAAAAAAAAAAACCCCAATGAGTTTTGAGTGGAAACATTTTCAGATGTTAATGAAGGTTTTTAACTTTTCTGAATTTCATCTTGCGCTTTCCCTTTGGTCAAAATTGTTGACTGAATTTGATCTGAATTTGCCAAAAAAAAAAAATTTTGATCATTTTGTTTTAGGATTTTTTTTTTTTTTTCACTTATTGTCATGAAAAAAAAAAACACAAAACACATTAAGTATGCTCAACTCTACTCAGCAGACTCTGGATTCTGCTCACGAGGCAGGTAAGTCATTTTAGCTCTCAGTACCTCCAATTCACCATCTTCAGAATGGGGGAGATACATTGATGTATAATTTCTAGAAATTGCTGTAGAAGACGACGATAGTAGCAGTATTGTTCTATAGCACACACAAAAACAAATATATGCATGAATGGGTATTTTTTAGTTGGTTCTGGTAGTTATGGCTTATTTCTCTGTCTAATCTGCATACTCTAAAGGATTAATTTTGCTCTCCATCTCCTTTCTCTCCTAGCTTTGTTTAACCTCATACCTGTGGGTTTACGAGTGGTGGCGATTCAGGGGGTTCAAACAAAATTATATCTGGCAATGAACAGTGAAGGATACCTATATACATCAGTAAGTAAACATTTTAAATTCCATTCTCACTGAAATTATGGTAAGAACCTAGTAAATGAATAATTTACTGTTCCAAGAAATCTACTTATAACCGATAGCCATGAGATTGGGCAGTAAATTCAGTGTAGTGGTGATAGTCTGGTTTTAGTGTATTACTCTGTTTCCATTATAGATATATATGGATGTACAGAATGAAACTGCAGTGCCTTTGTTGCAAACTAATGATCCTGGTGAAATAAATAAGAAAAAACCCCACAGCCAAAACCCCAAACAAAAAAGATGCTCTCTCTCGGTCACTGTGGACTGACTGGGCTCATCAGCGCGGGGTACAGAGGAAAAGGGACAACTTTGTGGATCACACACATGCCTGAACATGGTTTATATCTTCTCATATAATCTCTATTACTGTTATTAAAAGGGATTAGAGAAAGTAATTTTTTTTCGGTTTGACCAGGATTTTCATATAGAAATGGAATTAGGTGCCAAAATCTTACGATTTGAAGTTGCTGAGTGAGTAAAGAAATGTTTTATTAGCAGTTTTGATGAAGAATGTCGGTTAGTAATTTTCAGTGGCATTTCTCAAGAGACAAAACACTGTTTTTATGAAAAGAAAAAGGACATATTTCAAAATAGACAATTTTTCAATTAAAAACATTTAGTTGAACTATGTTCAGGAGTTTTAATTATAAAGTCTTAATAGATTTTTCCCAAGGAGGAAAACAGGAAAATTTAATTTATTATCTACTACAAATTATTATCTACTATGAACGATTCCCTTAAGGTGCCTTTAATAGTGATAACAATTAAGTAAACTTATTCAAATCTCTGATTCCTTTTGCAATCCTGACAGCTGGGACAAGGGGCAGCTTTGCATATTTTTCCTCTTGTAGCTGCCGGAGCAAAAGCAAATTGGAACTGGCTACGCTTTGGGACAAAGTGAAATTTCAGTGACCGGCATCGAACTCCGCTCTTCTTTTTGCTCTGGCTATTTGCTCAGTGCGGTTAATCCACCGCTCTGTTTGCAGGGCTGTAGCCACGCAGCCGGATCGTGCAAAGCTCCCCGTAATCCCGTGTAGTCACGGTCCTGTGGCTGCACGGTGTCATTTACATTTGCACTGCAAACGTACCTTTGACTGCAGCGTGCGTTTTCATTTACATTAGCATCCTCAGGTGCTCTCTGGCTGCCCGCTCGCTGCGTCGTGCAGGCTGCTACAGGCTCAACTCTGCCTCAGGGACCTGATTACAGCCTACAAATACTTGAGAAAAGATGGTGGGGAGGTAGGGGAAGGGCTCTTTACATTAGTGTTGGGTGATAGAACAAGAGGAAATGGGTATAAGCTTAGTCAGGGGAGGTTCAGGTTGGATGTTAGGAAGTATTTCTTCTCTGAAAGGGTTGTCAGCCACTGGAATAGGCTGCCCAGGGAGGTGGTTGTGTCCCCATCCCTGGATGTGTTTAAGAATAGGGTGAATGATCTACTTGAGGATATGGTTTAATGGGGATTAGGGATGGTTGGACTGGATGATCTCTAAGGTCTTTTCCAACCTAGAAATCTATGAATCTCGTTGAGTCGCATCTCGAGGTGGGATAGAGAGGTTTGTACGTAAAGCGAAATTCCATCGTTACGTGCAACAAACAGGCTCAGTTTGAGTAGGTCAGTTCTTCCATTGCAAGATACGTTCTGGAAGAATCAGATATATTTTTGTAAAGGTGCAAAAATTCTTGCGAAAATGCAGAAAATGGGATGGGGATAGATTCAGCTGCGGTTAACCTACAACGGAGCGGTAACTTCTCATTGTGAGGCATAACCCCAAAGTCAAAGAGACCGTGGAGAGAATGAAGTATTGCTTCTAGTATTCCTCGATGTGAGGAGAAGTGGCAGGATATAACCCTTATTTTGATTAAGTCCAGCTTTTAGTTTGGTAGGTACCAACGCATCTTAGGCAGAGCTCAGAGATTCACTTTGGTTGTAATTTTTGGTATTTGATTAGGGATAGTTCTTCATGTGATCTTGTATGTTACCATGAATAGTGTTTTCCTTGAATCCTTTAGTAACTGTGAATTTAATAGTTTATGCGATTGCAAAATTAAATGAGACATCCCTCTATTTTCCCCTTGATAACAATGGTCATTTTTGCTTCTTTATTAGGCAGCTGTATTTTCTTACATTTATTCTTCTATTTTATTCTTCTTGAACTTGATGGGCTTGGCAAGGCCTTAAACAGAATTTTGTCATGTTGCTGTGTTCCAAATTCATGTTTTCAAATACTCTTCGCAAAGATGGGTGTCCATTTAATGTTGATCTACCTTTCCAAAGAAAGTTTCCACCCAAGTTCTCAATAATCTGGGTTTATCACCTGGCGCCTTCTGGTTTGGTTAGTTTGTCCTTCACAACAATTGCAAGGAACTGTCTCGGCGGGCAAAATCTCACTCATGTTTCTGTCGATGTGCCCAGGGAACAGACAAGGGCTGGTGAGGAGCATCTGCCCCTACTTCAGCTGCTGTGCAAAAAAGTTGCCACAATTGCAGTTCCAGCACTGTGTTTTAAGTGTTTCTAGCACTTCTTTTGCTGATAATGGTCCTTTCAGCAAGGGATACAGTCTGACAGTCTGATACAAGGGAAATTAGCTCTATATTTTGGGCTGAGTTCTTGGTTGATGTAAAGGAGTCCCAGGAGAGCTTAGCTGATTTATACCAGATGAACATTCACCTGTTCAAGGGATGCCAAGAGGGAGTTTGGGGGAAACAGATCAGCTCAAGTATATGACATCCATCTACACATTCTGAGGGTTTCCAAGCCCTTACAGGGATGTGTTCCTGATGGGATTTGTCAGGAGCAGACAGATGGCAACATGGGATTGATCAGGAGCAAAAACCCCACAAAACACTGTCAAATTCCTGAAGCAAGAATATAAGGAAAAATAGCAATGTACTTGAATTGTAGGTAACTATAACAGATAGTTGTACCATTTCCAGAGAGAAATGAAATTAGCATTGATGATGCAATGTAATAGGCAGAGAGAATATCATGGTCTATGCCATCATCACTTGCTTTCGGTTTTATTGTGACTCTAGTGCTTCAGTCATGCTTGTGTCCGTGCAGAACCATTTCCTTCAGATTGCATTGCTGAAGGTTATGGATTTATTTGGTAAATGGTTTGAAAAACACCCTACTGCCCTGCCATCCCTCTTCTTCACCTCATGCTACTGTCTGTGCCATGCACCTGATAGTGCCTTGTACCCCGAAACACTTCCCAAACGCTGCGCCTGATCAAGGGGCCATTATGTCCGCAGCAATTACCCCACTGGTAAATGGGTAAATTAGACATCTGACTTATGGGAGGATAAACGGAGGCTCAGCGAAGTGCTTTCCCACACCTGTGCAGGAAGACACGTCAGGGTTAACACACCAGGTGTCCTGTTTCCGTGCATCTTGTGCTAAATTGCAATATTAAATCACAGTTCCTTCTCCTTTTAGTGACTGTGGTGAATTCTTCTGGTTTGTCCCTTGTGGTATATTCTTTTAGGTTTCGGCTGTGCAGCAACAAGATTGACTTAGTTGATTCTGAGCATCCTGCATATGGAGAAAATACGTCCTAGCCACAGTCCATTACAGATGTTGGCAAATAGAGAGAATATCTGTGGATCCTGTTTCCTAGTTTGTTGAGCTCTGGCTTTGCCTTGCCTCTTCCTCCCTCGCAGTCTGCCAGGATGGAGGTTCAGGTCTCTGCCCTCAGAGGTAGTCCGCAGTGTGGTTTGCTTCTGATTGAGTGACTGTTCTCAAGAATGAGGTGAATTTGCTCTATGAGGAGATCACTGATGTATAATAAACCTGCAGAGAACAGATATCTGCAGTTGGCTGCCAGAGTTTATAGATAGTTTGTGGCGTCTGTCAGTTAGAGCAAAAATAAGATCTTTAATGTGATGATGAGAGCTCCTTGGGAACAAGGCAGCAACTCAGCTAAGCAAAAAAAAAATATTAAAAGAAATATGTAATTATCTACATTTGTTGTAGAAGTGCGTTAAAAGTTCTGGAGGGCAGGGAAGGGAAGTGACCTTGGTCCCCCGTGCTCTGAGCAGCATGTGCCTCCTCTCCACACTGCCTGGAAAACGTGTCTTCATATCACAGAAGAACACCACAATACCACATTTGAAATGTTTTGGGATTTTTTTTCTGAAAAAAAGTCAGTTTCCTACCAAAGTCAATGGGAGTTGTGCGACTGCATCTCCCAAGCTAAACCCAGCCTCACGATTTTATTTGGGGGCACCTTGTCAGAAGCTATTTGAAGCTGTCTGTCTTCCTGCTGTTTGCTGCTTGAGCATCCATTTAAAATGAAAGCACAAGGTTTGGTTCATCCCTTCTTACACCAGCATCAAGCTGCTGCAAGATGAATTTAACGGTGTTATGGCACTGCTGTCTTACGTAATGAATCATGTTCTTTTGTATTTTAGGATTGCTTTTATTTTATCTTATCTTATTTTTCTTTCTGTGAACCACCACATCTTTCAGATGACCACCATCTATGCCACACTTGAGTTTTTCAGCTTTCATACCCTATGAATTCCTTGTGTTCTTTCGTTGTCTTGAACAAAATAGTGAAAAATATTTTAAGGATCTGTTTGTCAGACGTGTAGTCCTAGAGCTATTGCATTCTCATTAAAGTGATTGTGATGGGATGGAGGAGGCTCACAGCCATAGAGAGTGGCAGCTGAGTGAGGTTCATTAAAGGGGAGGCATGTATGTAGGTGAAGAGAATTAGGTGTACTGCTTGAATTGTACAGAGGCTGAAACATAACCCAAAATACAGCAAATTTGAAAAAAACAACCTGAGAACATCTAGCCATGTATTTTCCATGAAAAAAAATCATATCAGATTTTTTAAAATCATCTAATGATTGTCAGTGAAATGCATATTTCTCCTATGGAATGTTTCAACCCATATCATTGTGTGCTTGTTCAGCCTGTGTACATTGTCAGAAACAGTAAAATTAAATGTGCGCT